ATGCTCTCCCATGCCTGCCCCTCAGCCCCACATCAGCACACACCTCTCTTCTCCATGCTGCCAATCTCCCCAGAGCCCCCAAGCTCTTGGCTGCACTCTGTCTCCCACCCTCATGCCCCAAAGGGTTTGTTGCACAGTTGTGCCACGAGGCAGCCTGGAGAGTGCTCTGCCCTGGAGCCCAGGAGTATGGGTTTCCAATCCCATGTCAGCCTAAGGGCCCACATCCATGTCTGGGTTTCCTTGCCTGCCCACTGAGTCCCACTTGGATGCTTGGGGATTAGAACAGGACATTCCCATTGCCCAGAGCGCAATCATCTGCAATCGACAAGGGCCAAGCCAGCTACAAAGCAGCTTGCGGTTTCTCCCACCTCTGGGCCAGCTGCTGGGGTTATTTCCCTCCTTCAGAGCAGCCTTGGTGACTGCTATTTACCATCACCAGCACAACCGCCCCGCTCTCTCCTGGACACCAGAATTTTGCCATCAAGAGGAAAAAGGCATAAAGAAAACGTTCTCTCTCCTATCTGCAGCACTGGCAAGTCACCATTCTGTGTGTGCGCGTGTGTAGGGAGCGATATGCCGGCAACATCAGGGGATCCCTCCAGCATCCCTGAGCCCTGACAAAACCATGCCAGTGTGCAAGCATCAGCATGGACCACCTACCTTTGAACATGAATCTTTCTTTGTCTCTGAATATGCTCCCAAGCGGTGGCTTCCCCCCCACACACACACTTTTCTCTCCTGACACCGGTGCAGTGTGGCTGTCTCAGAGGTTCTGCTTTTCTTTCTCACTTTCTCCTTCTCTCTCTTTTTTTCTCTCCTCCACTAGATGTTTCAGATAAGCAGGGATGCTGCTGCTGCTGCCGCTGCCATGGTCATATCATGTGACCTGAATATTAAACATCCCTGCAAAATCTCCCCCACTCTCTCCCTCCCTCCTCTCCTAGGATCCAAAGCTTCATCCCAGCTGCTGCTGCAAGACCCCGGCTGGATTGGTGGTCACAAGAGGGTGTGCTTGCTGCTGGGGACGGGAGGTGCTGTGATGAATGGATTAGATGTGCCCTGAATATGCTCCCCCCGCCATACACAAACTCGTTCCCTCCCTCCTCTCCTTCCCTATTCCCAGGCGGTTTTCATATGCTTCTGTCTATGGAGCATCTCTAGCCACAGCCACTTGTTTATGCAGAGAGATTTAACCCTTCGCCGGGCTGCTGAAGGGGTTTCGCAAAGAGAGGACTGAGAACAGGTTGGGAGATTTTAAGCATGTGGGGAGTGTCAATTCCAAGGCCTGACTCCAATCTCACTTACACCAGGGACAATCAGGAGTCACTCTATTGAAGCCAATCAGGCTTCCAGCTGGGGGGCTTTCAAAGCCTTTTGCCTGGTAAGTGGATGTCTGGTTGTTGGCCAGAGGCAGAGAGTGGGCCATCCTCTGTGGGGCAGGAGGGAAGAGAAAAGCAGTGTCTGTAGGCCAATGTCTGTGTGTCAGCCAGGGAAAGGAGACACGTGTCTTTGTGTCACTGTGCATACACTGTCTCCCTCCAGGTGCCTATAGGCATCTGTGTCTGTCTGGATCTTTGTGCACATGTCACTGTGAGTATATGCATGTGGTTGAAGATGGGTATCTACGTGGATGTGACTAGCGTGTATCTCTGTGAGGGATGTTGGGTCTGGATCTCTGCTGTCTTCCTCCTGGTGTAATCCTGTGAAAAACTGGCCTGATTCTCTACTCTCCTGTGATCTGTATGCTGCTCCAGTGATACACAAGGCCATACAGTGGCCAAAAACTGACACCCACTGCCCCCCGTCAGAACAAGTGTCAGCTGTTTGGCATACAGCTGGCAGAACAATTTTATGCCACCCTTCCTTGCAGCTTCTGATACAAGGAAATGCCAGGGGCGGAGATGAAGTGGGAGGGAGCCTGAGAATACTGCTTTCCACTTGTTCACAATTGCAGGGCCATGGGCGGTCCAAATAGGAGTTAGAATAGCCCCAAGTGTGCTCTAGTTTACACTGGGGGCTGCACAGGTGCTTGAACAGAGTCATAGGGTGTGTCTGCACACTAGCACCCCCTAGTGGCCAAGCATAGTGCTGTAGGCACACCCATGCCTCAGTTTCCCCTCATCCAGTTTTTCTGTCTCTCCCAGGGATTCACATGGTTCTGCCCTCGGACTGTGCCATTCTCAGAGTTCAGTCCCTTTCTGGGGAAACAAAAATCCAAACAAAAGTCCCAAACAAACAAAAGGTTCTTCCGTCCTCTGGGGCTCCTCTTCACCCCACCGCCTGGCTCAGCTCCCCATCCCTTCTGAGTTACCTTTAAGTCACTCTGGCTCTGGGATACAGCCCTGACTCCCAGCCTCCTTTCCCTAAAGGCTTCCTCTCAGTCTCAGCCCCTTTGAGCAATCTTTCTCTCTTCCCTGCTCTGCACCTGGGCACTGACTCCAAGGCCAGGCTACTACAGACCTTCTCTAGACCCTGCCACAAGAGCCCAACTTACTCCCTATGGTTCCTCCAAAGGGAATTTTCTCAGCAATTGTTTTAAGCCCAGGTGTTTAAGGCAATCACCCCACCCCAATTAGTCCAGCCCCCTTAGGCTGGTAGGCAGATAATTAAGGCACACGTGGGGCTCTTTGAACAGGCCTGGCTGGCCCAGGCTTCTTGTCCCCTAAAGGAGCAGGCCACCTGTCACAGAGCGTATCAGGAAATGCAAAGGTGGCTTTGCTCTGTACTGCGGCTCTATGACCAGCACAGGGATGGAGGAGCATAGCCCCTGGCCAGGGAGTGCAAAGTGGGTTTAAAACACTATCAGATCAGAAGGGCAGCACTGTACACTGACTGTGCCCAGCAGCAAACAGCTGCACAAAAATCAGGCCTCTTGTGTCTGCCAAATAGTGGCCCAAGAGAGGGAATTTAGAGGCCAACTGAAAATCAAATCTCTACATTCCACTTTCGGGATACGATGCCTGTCCATCTATTTGTGATGCTGCTGGCAACGCAGTATCTAGGCACCACAGATAAGATTAAGAAAATCAATGTCCATCTGGCAAGGCCGTACCCTCCGTTCCTCCCATGATCTGTGCCACTTTCTTACGTGGGATTATCCTGCTGTTTATCTGCCAGAGAAACACTGCCAAGCTGCTCTGCCATCGCCGTGCCTGGAGGATAGTCTGTTCAAAGAGAGGTGTTTGAAACCTGGCCATGAAGGCTCATCCTGATCTCCGGTGGCATGGAATTCCACAGCGGAGGGCGTTCCACTGAGAATGCCCCAGACCTCACCTGGGGCTCCATCAGGTACAATGTCTCCATCAGTCGCAGCTGTCCTGATGTGGTGAGACAGGAATCTCTGAGATAGCTAGGGCCTAAAATCCAGTGAGGACTACAGAGCATTCCTCTGTTTGGCTAAAGGAAGCATTCAGCGCTTTGCCGCCTAAAAAGAATCAACTGTATTTTCACTTCAGGCCCCCCCCCCCACACACACACACA